CTAATACTTCCCTACCTAAACTATGGAATTGTTATTTGGAGATCAGCCGCTGATGTGTATCTAAATAAATTACTAATACTCCAAAAAAGAGCTATAAAACCAAAGCAAAACGGCTAGCTCACACAGCTCCTTTATTTTTTAAACATGATATACTGGCTATAAAAGACTTATATCATTTTAATGTTGGGTTATTCATGCATAGAGTTAAGTCTGGGGAAATTCCTCAGGGTATCTTGAAACTTTTTCCCTTAAACAATGATGTTCATTTATATTGTACGCGTCAGTCGTCGTCTTTTCATATACCAAAAGTAAGACTTAAATCTAGGCTTACTACTATTTTATTTTACGAACCAAAATACTGGCTGACTCTACCTCCCTGTTTGTAAGATCAAAAGTCACTGTCTACATTCAAGGCTCAACTGAAACGGTCAATTTTGTCCACATATCAATCAACTGAATAACTCTTTTTGTTTACTTTTTTCCTTGTTTTATTGTTCTTGTTATCTTAAATTATTTCATTTTCTTTTCACTTTGTGATTTTCTGAATTTTTTTTTTGTTCTTATGCATTAATTTATAAGTTAGCTACCAGACCTACAAAAGCTATGTAATATTTTTTTTAAAGCAAAATATTTAATTCGTGGGTTCACTTTTTTATTAGATTTTTCGCGCACATTTTTTGGAGATTTTTTTCGCTTTTTTAATAAATGTCTAATACGCTATGTTTTTGTTAATTACTTTGATTGTGAAAGAAAAACATTTTTATATAGCTACCTTGAATTCTTCTTTTGTTCTCTGTGAATGTCATTGTTGTAGCACATTTCGCGAAGCCCAGACCTTAGTTTGCAGCATTGCATTCCACTTACAGACAAATGACTCGCAATGTTTCCTGAACATTGTAAAAAAAAAAAGAACATATGTTTTGAAATTTCCTTAAGGTTTTTTGTTTCGTTGCTGTAAAGATTTTGTTGCTGTCCTGGGGGGTACTCAACTTTCAGAAATTTTCGCGCAAAATTAGCCTCATTTTCTAAACATTGAGAACATTTTGAAAAAAAAGACCCATTGATATACCAAATTTGACCCAAAAAGCGGGTCATTGATATACCAAAACCAATTTTGTTATTGTTATATATGTGTTTTGTCTTGCCACACATTTCATAAGCACTTGAGGTCTGGGGAAGTACATATATGACACATTTAAAATCAATACACCTTACTCAAAAAAGAATTGTACGCACTATAACACATTCAGACAGATTAGCACACACATCATCACCATTTACATAATTGGCAATCCTTAACATTTATAAACAATATGAATCTCAATTACTTTTATTTGTTTATGACAGCATTAACAGCAGATTTCCTTTAACAATTCCTCAATATTTTTCATATGTTCAGCATTATCACACAACACGGGCTCAAGCAAAGGGGAATCTGACTATCCCAAAACATAAAAGTAATGTGGGACAATTCTCTGTTGGGTGATCTGGTGCTAGACTACGGAATGCGATTCCAGAATATATCAGACATGAATCAAAATCTGATTTTAAGAGAGAAATGAAGTTACTTTTATTTAAGTAAATTTACCCATTATTTATATGTATATTTATGTAATTATTTATGTACTATATATTTTCTTCGAAAAGAATTTTTTGATAAATTTTATTTATTCTTTTGCTATGAAATGGTATATTTGATATTTGTTAAGTTGAAAAAGTAATAATTTTGTCCTATATATAGAATTATGCAATTGTTTTACGTTTAAAGGGGCTGGAATTGATTAGTGTTTACACTATTTTCTAGCTTCTTCCTATATATGGTTTATGTATTTATTTGAATTTTATATTACTTATACTTATTGGAAATAAAGTTGAAGTTGAAGTTGAATAAATAAGGGGTCATTGTTATACCAGAGAGCCGAAAATGTACCCATATTAGCAACACATCCCCGTATGGTCATTTGAACTGAGTATCCCCCGGGGGTTGCTGTAAAGCGACTGTGTTTGAAGACATGCACAAATGGTAATTATCAAACGTACTACCAATCACGTGTTCAAAATTTGACCATGTAACGTCATTTGTTGGGCAATCTTATTAAAGTATCTGTCTTTATTTAGATAGAAGCATTACTTATGCAAGTAGTTACTTACCAGAATAAGTTTTAACTATCGCTCTGATTGAATAATTAAGTCTTGTTCCACTCAGGTTAAAGTCATGCACATCTCCATTTTGCAATGTGTAGTAGAGATCACCGTCAACCCGAAAAACACGTGCCTCGCCATTAGAAGTCGAGTACTGAAGTGCTGCCCATCTTACTTCTGTTGGAAAAGACCATCCGATAACATCACCGGCCGTAACCTTAATACGTTCACACTCAGGAACAACATAGACGACATTCTGATCTATTGCACCAGCTGGAATATCGTTGATACCAACAATTTGGTACCGGTGAATAGAAGATATATCTGCTACTGCTCTCCACACTATTGCCTTGAATGGACGATGGTACTTCGATCTATAGTGCCATTCTGCGAGGGTGCCGTTACAGCTGAACGGGTTGTCTGGAGACACCATTGTCCAGTTCCCGCCGTTGACTTGTTCGCGACTGCGAACTTCCCATCCGGTGGAACATACTTCTACGTTACGAAACAGTTGGAATGAAAAAGTAAGGGAAACAATTATGAACAATTTACTATAGAAGCTAATGAGATGGACACTACTATAATTAATTCCCTCGCGATTGTCAAGAAGTTGAACAAGCATGTTCTTAAACAGATTTGAACCAAGGACCTCCCACTTTTGTAGCTTGACGCTAGAGAATCGGGCGAAGTATAACTCGTAACCTTGGGCCTATATGGATTACATCCTCAGTGGCGTATCTGGGGTCACTTGTCAAAGGGGGAAAAATTCTGGTGGTAGGTAAATTTTCTCGTTCAGAGTTTTCCTGGTAAGAGGGTAAAAAAGGGCCAATTTAGCACAAAATTTAATGTTTATATTTTTTCTTCCCGGTCAAAGCCGTCAGGGGGCACTCTGCCTCCTGATCCCCTTAGATACCTTACTGTACATCCTACGATTTGACCAATGCCACAGAAATAGCATTCTTGATTGTTCAGTGTGTAGGAGTGCCTGTATAGAGACCAGGAGGTCTGGATTAAAAATTCAAGGAAACGATTTTTTTCATTTCTTGATCGTGTTGATCATCGCAAGGGAAAGAATAATTGGGCAAACAAAATTACTTTGATATATAGGTTTCTCGGCCATTAAAAAAAAATTAGTTCAAATTCAATTTTCAAATTTGTCCTTCAAAATCTATTTATTGTATTTGAAAAGTTCAGTATCGTCTTTGGTCATCCAATTTCGCCCCCTTTGAGCCTTCCCCGGTGTTAGCCAGAATTTAAATTCGTCTTATTTCACACAATTTAACTGTAGTTTCTTTAAATTTCGGTGCCACTGTTATCTTAAAAAAAATACCATACATTATAAATATCGGAGCGACAGGTCGTGTCATCTTTTTTATGGTTATAACATTGTCCTTTTGGTTTTATTTCTTTCAAGTCTTTTGCGTACAATATAAAAGTGACGGAGATGTTCGGCCCGCAACTTAACTTTGAACATGCGGTCTATTCCCTGTAAACAACTAAACAACATGTTTTACTTCTCTTCATTATAAATATTTCGTGATTCCTCTCATGGTAACTCTCCTTTAAATCCTCCCGGCAATCACCCCTTGCAAAAATAATGAACACTCCTTATTCGGTTGTTCTAAATATTTTAATTTTACCTAAAACAATTTCAGATCTGGCATATAGGTCACTATGTCTATAAAATGTCTTATTTCAGTACAAGCCACAATCGGTACGTTTAAGTTATATGATAGATTATCAATGTATTCTCTTACCCTGTTGTGCATTTGTTGTCAAAAAGAAACAGGCAGTGACAGATATAAGGAATAACCAAACGTATTTCTTGAACATCATGGCTGAAAATAATGACAATATAATTAAAATGGGTTGAACATCTTGAAATTGCATGGTAATATAAAGAACTCACAAAATAATAACTCAGCTGTTGTAATGTACACCTACAGAAGCATTAATCATATTCAAAACAATTTAACATAGACAAAAATAGGGTTTTTTTACACGCATTTTGGTACCCTATTCGCCCAATTGCGTTCAGTATTAACAACACAACAGTGTTTTCAACGAAAAAAGCCCGAATTTAAAAGTTGCACTTACTTATACTGTATCACTGTTGAATAGTACAATAGAATAGTTGCATTTTAGTACAATACAGAAGGCTAAAGTTCGAAACTGTGCGATATATCTATGGTCAGCACTAGATTCCATCCCTCAAAATGACATGACTTCACTATACAGTCGCCTATCATCGGAAGCAACACCCGAGCGGTTTCCGAAGCGACGGCACTTTGACAGGTCGAAAAAAAACGATATGTGTAGACGTGTTTGTCATTTTGATCTAGGCCTAGGCTTATGCAGTTAATATTTTTAATCTGTTGAATGTTATATAGTGGATAACTGTTATATGTGGTTTTTTATCTGTTTTGTACACCTAGGTCCATATTTTGTATACAATTGTTTTGTGTTTGTGTTTTATACAGCAACTTTTGTTAATGTAATTTATTATATAATGAATATGGTTTTAATAAAGAATTTAAATAGGCCTACTGTAAATCATTTGTAAATATTAATAAAAACATTGTTTTTAATTATTATATATTAAATATACAGTATTTAGCTTCCTTATAAGAATTGTTTAAATAAATAATCCTTCCATTTAACATTATCATGATTGATTTAAATCCTAAATATAGCACACAATATCAACAGAAAGTTTTTAATACAGTGTTTCGATGAGAAACTATATTGTTGAGGGCGTAAATTTTCTATCGCCAATCGTAACGTAGAGGGCGTAAATAGCGTGGGTAATTCAGATTTGATGATGAATTCGCTGTCACACGTTATGTTTTTATGCTAAAGTAATTGCTGGTTTTATCTGTTAAAAACCCATTTCTGAAGTTTGATATCATGCTGTATATGATATGTAAGAACCATTTTGATTACCTTAGAGTAGTTGTCAATACTGTAAATCGTATTTTAATCACATTTTGCTTAGAAGGAGTTGCATGCCTGTCACACATGTGTAATGATAGCGGTGCTTAGTCGGTCCTGCTTGGACTTTATGGTTGATAGCTAGCCTAGCTTAATTTGGACTGTCGTAATACTTCTACTCTGATTTTATTGTATGTGCTACGAGAATTATATGTTTAAGTAAGATGTATTACATGAATATCATAAATTATAATCTATACCATATATTTTTATAATGTAAATATTAATATAATGGTTAATGTAGGAACTATTTTATGTTGCATCTGATATAATTCCTTTGTTTTCTGAGATAGATATATTATGGTTACATTGGCACATTGATATACATTTGTCAAATTGTGTTATGAGGTTTTATCTATGATGCTTGTTTATTAGACAACCTCTGGAATGTGTTCAAGCTTATTGTTTGTATTTCTTATTTACCATATTGCATTTATGTTTATCTTACTCCATTTGATTCAGAATGTATTACTGGTGCAATTACTGTAAACTGATGCACTGTACTGAATTGATGTGTAGTTGGGGAGATAAGTTGTATGTTCATGGTCTAGGATTGATATGTTATTGCTTACATAGTCTCTTTGATAATCTTAATTACTGTCCTTACACATATTATTGAAGACATTGCATTAATTTACTGAATATGTTTAGGCTTACAATATGCATTATGTTAACTTAATTAAAACGCTTATTAGATTTGGAATTACTGTATATTATGTAACTTCAATCATATTTGATTCTGATTTGAGCTTAAAGATCTGATGATTGCATTAAGCTACAATATGATTTACTGTATTTAGTTATGATACTATTTATTTAATAGTTTATACTTCTGGTAAATTTATGTTTACAAAATTTACTGATTACATGCTACCTTACTGTTTTACTGACTGATGTATTGTCTACTGTCTTTGATTCTTTCAGAATTGAATAAATATTTTATCTAGTAATTTTACTGGATTGTTTATCTCAATACTTTCTCCCTGCGTCTGATCCGATCCCTCGCCTCGCCATACAGTATATTAAATGTATTAATCTTCCTAATGTATAAATCATTTATGCAATTGCATTTATAGTCATCTTAAAATTCTAAATACTGTACAGTAAACCTGCTAGTCTCTAGTATGTTGAGTTTGTGTGCTTTTGAATACATTTTAATTGTTTAATTGTTTATACTTTATATAATGTACAGTAATATTTACTAAATTGCATATATTCTGAGAATGTAAAGCCTGTATATACTTTTATGTTTTAAGTCCGTATACAAGTCTTAAACTGGCAACATCTGGGGACGGTGGAAGTAGGGTTTCTTATTTGGAAGGTGGACACTGGTCCATCCAACAAAATTACATGTTGTTATAGTGACGATAATGCAAAGTATACTAACCTTCAACTTTCCACAAAAAAACAAAACATAGTAATAGAAAAGTGGTGAAATATAGCATTTAAATATAAATCCCAAAACTGAGCAGAGATTTGTGTGTAACCAGCAACTACTACTATTGTAACTCCGGAATATATTAATGGTAACTTGATATTACCACAGGGGCAATATGGGTCAGTCTGTCAAGATTGAGTGGAGTGGGAATAAAGTGGTCGATAAATCATGTACCGATTCAAAAAGCCCTGTTAGCGAAAGGTGATTCCTTAACACTGAATTCTGCTGTACAACATGATCAGGCTATGGAATCAGTTGAAAGAGCACACCACACGTATAGGCCTAGCCCAAACGAACCAACAACAGCACCAGCAAGTTGATGCTATAAAGTATAGGCCTAATAACATTCTAGTAAACAACCACATTCGAATACATCCCAACATGAAGCCCGCCAACCGTGACCCCGCCAACAAACCCCAACACAGCGTACCTGCGGAAATTGTGGATTCTAATGTTACCATGTGACATAAGGATGTGACATAAAGAAGTCCTCTCCTTAAAACTTCTAACCTACCAAACTTTGCGTATCTCAATATACATATATATTTCCTTAAATCATGGAAGTCCACTCGTTAAATTAGTATATATAGTATAGAGGATTTTGTCTGTCAATCTCAGACATCCAAATTTTAGGAAATTACGTTTTATGCATGCACCGACATGAAAGTTTTAACCTAATAACTTTGATATATATGTTTTATTTCTTTGTTGAATGGATTTCTTTAATAATAATATTACAGTCTAATATGACCACAACATAAGGAAGTCCACTCAGTAAATGTTTAGCATAATATTGTACAGAGAATTTTGATTGTTTATCAATATCATTATACACATGTTCGATCCAAATCACGTTTTATGCAAGCACTGACGAGGAAAGATTAAACATAATGATTTTGATACTGTATGTACATGTTTTATGTTATGTGTTGATTGGTCTTAGTTAATAATATTACAGTTTAAAAAAATTCATATTATAACAACTTGGTCATAATATATTTTATTCTTAAAGGAAGCAGAATAATGCAATTCTTTCAACAACTGTACTCGTACCAAAACTTGATTGGTGTGATTTTACTTCCACCAGGAAATTAATTAAATATGCATAATTGTCTTTTGTTGTCTTAAAATTTTAAAAAAATATAATAAAATGCCTTTCAATAAGATTATAAGAATCAACGCACATACATATTCTCCCTGTGATTGTTTTTTGATTAACCATACATCGTGACATATAAATAATAAAAAAAAAAACTCGACAGTACATCGCGCAACCGATTTAATTACAGTCCCTTTTAATTAATAGTCAGAAAATGCAAAAATGTATTTCATTTTGTCTATATTTTTGTCTTTGTTTGAGGTAGGTTGTATTTCAGACAGAAAGAGTTGGAATTTGCCAGGCCACCAGGCACTGCAATCACTTTGTTTTGTTTTGGTTTTTTTTTAATCATTTTACCGTCACCCTGACCTTCCCCATGGCAAAAGGTGCCAAGGTCTAGATCAGCGCCTGCACGTTTTGGTTAAAAGAGGACCATACCAAAATTATTTTTCGTTCAGAGATCTAATCCTAGGTTTTTGTCAATGTCAAAAAGGCAACATACTAAAATAAACAACAATGTTGGGAGTAACAAGCTTTCTCCTGAATAAACTTAGCCTGCATGTTTTGACTTCAAACTTCAAAAAGTATTTTATTGTTTTGTTTCATCATAGCCCTGATGTTAGTTTAAAACATATTTTATAACAAAAAAAAATATACATTTTTTAACTATGTATTA